GCAGTCTCCTTATCTATTCACAGCTGGCCTTGAATTCATTGTGATACTTTTGCATCAGCCTCCCAAATGCTGGGATTATATGCATGGGCCAACATGCCCTGTTTATATTTTCCATATTATCCTTATCTGTGTACACTATTTATAATTTCTGTGACATTTAAACATACTAAGTGAGGTTATTAACTCTACAAGCTTATCCAACTACTTCATGCCCTCCTATAAGACATTTTACACTGTTCAGGAGATAATCATTACGTCCCTATGATCACAACTCCAAAGGGTACATGGATAAGATGATTAAAATTGTGTTATATTCATCCAGACTTTTAAAAATATGAATATGTATATATACATTTTAATAAAAACATGATAGTACACTATGTTTTGTATCCTTCAATTTTGCATACTGACCTGGCTTTTATTAACTGATTTTCTTTTTTTTATTTTGTCTTTTTGAGACAGGGTCTTGCTATGCAGTTCAGACTGGCCTTGAGCTCACTTTGTAGCCCAGGTTGGTCTTGAACTCGCAATGATCCGCCTGCCTCAGCCTCCCAAGTACTGGGATTACAGGCATGTGCCACTGCGCCTGGCTTATTAACTGATTTTCTGAGGGACAACTGGCTAAAAAATTTTCCCAATTTGAGTTATCTTTTCACTCTATTGGTAATTTCTTTTGCTGTGCAAAAGCTTTTTAATAGGGTGAAATCCTTGTTGTTGATTCTTTGTAGTATTTCCCATACAATCAAGGTTTTCTTCATCAAATCTTTGCCTACACATATGTCTTCAAGAGTTCTACCTATTCGCTCTTCCAGCAGACTTAGTGTTTTATATTTAGATCTTTGATCCATTTTAATTTTAATTTAGTGCATGGTGATAGACATGGGTCTAGGTTTAGTCTGTGGAATGTGGAAAGCCAGTTTTTCCAGCACCATTTGTTAAAGAGGCCATCTTTCTTCCAGTGAAGGGCTTTGGCCTCTTTGTCAAAAATAATGTAGCAGAGTGTATTTGGAGTTGTTTCTGCTTCTTCTAATCTGTTACATTGATCCTCAGGTCTACTTTTTTGTCAGTCCCATGCTGATTTTATCACAGTAGTTTTGTAGTATAATTTCAAGTCAGGGATTGTGAGACCCTGCCTTGGCACTGTTGCCTAGGATTGGTTTTTTGCTATTCTAGGTCTCTTCTGGTTCCAACTGAATTTTAAGAATATTTTCTCTAGTTCTGTGAGGTATGCTAATGGTATTTTGATTGGTATTACATTAAATCTGTACAGCAATTTTGGGAGTATGACTGTTTTCACTTTGTTGTTCCCGCAGACAAAAGACTGATATCTAGAACATATAAAGGACTGAAAAAAATCAGGTCTCTCAAATATAAAGATGCAGTTCAAAACTGGGCATCCTAGATTAATACACACTTCTCAGAGGAAGAAATTCAAATTACAAATAAATATATGAAAAATATTCAACATCACTGGTCATTTGAAAGATGCAAATTAAAACAATTTTGAGCTTCCACCTCACTCTAGAAAGAATGGTATTATCAAGAAATCAACCTATAAGAAATGATGGAATGGCTGTGGGGAAAAAAGAACCCTTCTCCGCTATTGATGGGAGTGTAGACTGATGCAGCCACTGTGGAAATCAGTGTGGAGATTCCTCCAAAAACTAGGATTAAAAGTCCCATTTGACCTAGCTATTCCCCTTCTGGGTATCTTCCCTGAAGAATTAAAAACATCATATCATACCAATATATGCACATCCATGTTTATAGCAGCACAGTTGGTAATAGCTAAATCTTGGGAACAACCCATATGTCCATCAACTGAGGAATTGATAAAAAAAAAAAAGATGTGGTTCTTTTATACAATGGAGTAATACTCAGCCTTAAAGAAGAATAAGTTCAAGGCATTTCTAGCTAATGGTTGTACCTTAAGACCATACCGTTAAGTAAAATAAATCAGATACACATGTGGAAATATCACATCATTTCTGTGGTGTAAGAAACCAAAAGTATAAATGACCAAAGTGTAAAATAGGTATTGAAAATAAGAAGAAATTGGTCAAAAGAAAGTGTAACTAGTGAGGGGAAGGGAGAAAGGGAAAGAAAGGGAGGGAAAAGAAAAAATGCAATAAAAAAGGATAAAATGGAAACAAAGCTTTTCAAATAAGGAGGGGAAGAGAGGTTGAAGAAGGGAAGGATTTGGGAAAAGAAGAGGAATCAAGATATAACATATGCAGATACAAATTCCTCATGATTCATATGATCACTATTCATAGCTAAATTGTACCAATAAACTTCTTCAAAGTAAAAAATATTGAAAAACTGATGTTCATGTCACAAATGTGACTGTGAAAAATGTATGCACCTTCAATCCATAGTGTTAAGTGAGGTAAATCAGACACACAAGTTTACATAATGCACTTTTTTTCTTATATGAGAAACTAAAAATATAAATAAATACCAAAATAAAAAGGCAACAGGAAACAGGAAGATAGACCATTTTACAAATGACAAAAGGACCAAGATATGGGGGGTAGGGCAAAGGGACACAAAAAGAATTAACATGTGTCATGTACATATACCAACTACACACAATGCATATACTTATTATGTACTGCAGACATGTGTTAATAAAGAAAGAAGAAAAGAAAGAAAGATCACCTTTGTTTATTTTGTGATTCTCGAGTTTGCTTCAACATTCATGGCTTGCATTCAGAGAATGGGTTGGAAAGGAAGTATCCATGGGCAAATTTAAACCATTTGTCATCTGTATACTTAAGAAGAAATGTGTTTTTATTACACTTGTTTCTATATGCACTATCAAAGATAAAATGGAGTATTACCTAAGTTACTCTCTTAGCAGTGTGTTTTGGGGATAGAGGGAAAATAGCCAGTAATAGTGAAAATATTGGTACCAAAATATATAATGCCAATAAAATGTGTCTTTTTTAGGACTCTATTTGTAATAATCTGCGTCTAGGATTTCAAATGTCTCTTAGATCTATGAATTTTCTGTACTTGGCCCAGAGCTACTCTTTTCCAAATTAGATTGCTAGATATTCATTTCAAATAATAAGTGGAAGGAATCCAATAAGGGATACATAAAACACATTGAACTGAGTGTGTTTATCTTTCTAATATTTTTTTTCTTTTTTGGTACCGGGAATTGAACTCAGGACCTTGCACTTGCCAGGCAGGTGCTTGCACCGCTCAGCTATATCCCCAGCCCTATCTTTCTAATGTAAAGACCAGCTATATCTAGGACACATAAAGAATTAAAAAAATCAGGCCCCCCAAAGTCAAAGACCCAATCCAAAAATGGGCATCTGAGATGAATACACACTTCTCTAATGAAGAGATACTAACAGCGAATAAATACATGAAAAAATGTTTAACGTCAGTAGTCATTCGAGAAATGCAAATTAAAACAACACTGAGATTCTATCTCACCCCAGAAAGAACGGCTATTATCAAGAATTCAGCCAATAACAAATGCTGGAGAGGCTGTGGGGAGAAAGGAACCGCACTCCACTGCTGGTGGGAGTGTAGATTGGTGAAACCACTGTGGAAATCAATTTGGAGATTCCTCTCGAAACTAGGATTAGACGTCCCATTTACCCCAGCTATTCCCCCTCTGGGTATATTCCCAGAAGAATTAAAGGTATCATACCAGGGCGATATATGTGCACTCATGTTTATAGCAGCACACTTTGTTATAGCTAAATCTTGAAAACAACCCAGATGCCCATCCACTGAGGAATGGATAAAAAGTTGTGGTATTTTTATACAATGGAGTATTACTCAGCTCTTAAAAAAGATAAACTCGAGGCTTTTGTAGGTAAATGGATGCAACTAGAGATGATGCTCATAAGTGAAATAAATTGGACCCAAATGGGTAAACATATTGTCTCCTTGGTGTAGGAACCTGAAAGACTAGGTAAAACTCAAAACGTACGCTAGATGATAGGAAAGGGAAAGAAATTGCTCCAAGGAAGGAATGACTGGGATGAGGGAAAGAAGTAAAAAGAAAGAAGGAAGGCAAAACATAAATATATATATGAATAGCTACGATAATTGTATTGCTGATTTCTGATGGTGTATTGAAATGAACAGTTAATCCTCACAATTTTTTATGCTCTGATCGAATTTGCATGCTTGTGTCTGGTGGTCTGAGCAACTGATTTGAAGGTAACAGTGTGCGGTGGAGTTACAATGGTGAACTCCTACCATCTTGTCTAGTGAGTCTCTGTATTATCTCTAATGTTTTATTGAAGAATTATTTTCTTACTCTCATTAATGGTTGCAGCAATCTTTTATTCTTACATCTGGTAATCTGAGCAATGTAGTTGAGGATAGCGATATGCAATGTAGCAACCACTGTTGATTTGTATTAATTTGTCTTGACACCCTGTATCACACTGAATGTTTTTGCTTTGATTTGTTTATGTTCGTGATACTGGTATGCTGCTACTGTTCTATTTCTTTGTTTGTTTGTTTCTCATTTACTACTCCATTTGAAATAAAAAATAAAAAAATAAAGACGAGCTAATAAACCAAGCATACTGTCATTAAGAATATGCAAGTCAAATGAAAGTTTTTCTTTTGCAGTTGACATGATTCAAATAATTCACGTTTTCTTTCTCCACAGGAGGCAAGTGAGAAAGCCATCTGGTGATGATAGGAAATTCAGAGATTTTTATTTATGTATTTTACTGTTTTATTTAAATACCTATATTTGGGATTTTTATTAATAAAGTTTTTCAGTCATTACATTACATAGTGTTTAATGGAAGTGAAAATCCTATTATAATGCTATTCATTTCAATTCTTGACATTTTGAAAAATATATAAACATATTATTCATACACAAAGACAGTTTAGTAGCTTGTTTCATGTGATGATTTTAATAGGTAATTTTACTTTTCTTATTTAAAACCAAAATATCTATGAACTTAGAAAAACTTAACATTCTTCATAATTGTGATTGATATTTGTTTCAGGTTATAATTCAGGATGATGGCCCTGAAAAATTGGATCCCAAGTATTTTGGAGAGTTGCTTGCAGATCTAAGTCGTAAGAATACTGATCTGTATCACTGCTTATTAGAACATTTGCAGAGAATTGGAGGAAGGTACTGTAAACATGTATTTTCCCTCAGTGTTGTAGCTATCAAATATTTTATTATGTTCTTATACTTTTTAGATTTTTTAAAGTGAATTTTTAGAAGAAATCCAGTACTTTTAATGGTGCAACTATATGAGTAAAGCTGAACAGATGTAAGAGTTAAGAATGTTTATGAAAATCATTAGACAAAGGTCACACTAACCCTTTTGTGATCAGCAGACAATCTTGTGTATGTTTTTGTAAGTACGGGGAAGGCAAATCAGCCTCGAGCAAACTAAAAAAATGCATGAGCATGTAAAAAAGGCAAAATACTACAACTGCTCATAGGAATGGAGAAAAGCGAACACTCACACACTGTTGATGAGAATGTAAATTACTAGAGCAATTATGGAAACCAGTATAGACGTTTCTCAAAGAATAAAAATTGAACAAATATATAACACAGCATACCAATCCTGGGTATATATATCCAAAGGAAATGAAATTAGTGTATCAAAGAGACATATGTACTCATTTTCATTGCAGGAATTTTTATAATAGCCAAAAATGGAAACATTCTAGGTGTCTATTAACTGATAAATATTTAAAAATTGGATACATGTAAAGAATGAAATACCATTCAACCATAAAAATGAAATCTAGCCATGGCAACATGGATAGACCTGGAGATCATTATGTTAAGTGAAATAAGCCAGACACAGAAAGACAAGTACCACATGATCTCGCTCATATGTGGAATCTAAAAATGCTTATCTTATAGAAACAGAGTAGAATAATAGTTACCAAAGGACAAGGATACTAGCGCAGTCGGGATAGAAAAATGTTAACCAGTGGGTACTAAGATACAGTTAGACAGGAACAAGAAATTCTAATGTATTATTGCACAGTGAGATGACCACAGACAGCAATATACTGTATATTTCAAAGAAATGTAACAAAGGCTTTTGAAAGTTCTCAGCACAAAGTATGTGTTGAGGAGATAAATATGTTTACTCTTACTTAAATATTATACAGTATTTAATGCACAGATACATACATCAAGATATTCCACGATATCCCATAAATATGTGCAATTTTAAGTGTCAATTAAAAACACACATGGTATACTGTGACTTGTTTTAAGATACTACATTTATGATATAAGATATAGTCCGATGGCCAACTCACCACTGTTTATCTTTTACTTATATGTGCTTAAGCTGGTATTTATTATATACTTAATGTGGTATACATTATGAATAAACTTTGTGTATTATATTAATTTCATGTATTATATATTTACTACATATGCATTATTAATTAGCATTTATAAATAAACATATAAATGTTATATAATATCATAAAGAATATCTAATTATGCATAGATATATAATATGGATAGATGGAACTAGAACCTACACTCTGGGCACCTTTATTGCTTAGGCAAATCACTTAACTTTTCAATAATATGTAATGTCAGGCAAACTGTTTAAGATGGTGAAGACAAATTTAAAGAACTACTAATTATTTACATCATTAAATTTGAAAATGATACAGGGTTAGGACCGATTTTGTATTGTTTAAAATTTGCTTCAGAATACTTAATGTTCATTTAAAGAATAGAACAGGATACTATTTGTATTTTGTAGTGCCCAAGATTTCAGAGAATATGATCTTGTTAAAGCAGCTCCTCAATAAGTTTTATATAACTACACTTAAATATATTCTAATTTTTTGTATTGTACTTATTAGAAGAAAGAATACCTGTGGAAGGGAACTTAAATTATTTCATAATTAATAAACACTCTAAAGTCTTATAAAATTTTGGTGCTTAAGAGTTCTCATTTGTCAGAGGGTTGTCAATTTCTTTCTCCTTGTTGCTCTCCCTCCCCTCAATCTCTCTCTCCTATCTTTTGTTTTTTTTTCCTCATTTCAGTTCTTCCTTTCCAGAAAGTAACATATAGTGAGTCACTACATTTTTTTGCCCAGTGATGACCTTGCCACAATCCCCAATGCTAAATGCGGATCTTCGTCCCACTAACCTTTCCACCATCCTGTTCTGCTCTCTTTCTTCCACTTTCTTCCTTGCTTTGGTTTCCACTCACCTCTTTCCCAGATGCAATTCAACAATGACTGGGCTGCAAGGTCAGAATTAGGGAAGGTTGTCTCATGGAACAATTCTGATTACTGTCTAAAATTCTAATATTAAACATTGTTTATTGCTCCTTGTTTTATTTATTGTTTTATATTCTTATTTACACACAGAAGCAGATGGCTAGGATCTTGCATACTAAATTGACATTGAAATTGGGAGGAAGAAATATTAGTACTTTTAAACACAAAATTATCTATTGACACTATCCTAAATTCTACTAATAATGCAAGACTACTGAGGCTGCATTGTGATTCATGTTTTTAACTTGCTTTAGCTTCAAATATATACATATAATTATTTCAATAAAGCATAAAAAATAGCAGGTATTTTATTTTTACTAGACCTCCCTAAAATTTCTATTTTGAGTAACAAAGAACATACTACATACATACATACATGCAAGCAATTGGACCTATATAGCCATGTCTTTGACAAATGGAAATTTCAGTTCTTTTTTCCACACTAGCTTGCCTATTTTTATCAATATATCCAAGAGCTTTTGTGTAATGAGCAACTCACTTATCTCTGTAAGCAATATAATACTTATAAACAATTATTTAAAAAGTAAATTTAGGTGCTAATGTGCTAAAATATCTTATTGCACTTGGTGTTTTTCTGTAATCCCAGTACTCGGGAGGGTGAGGCAGGAAGACAGCCATGAAACTGACTAGCTTGGGATACATAGTGAGTTCAAGGCCACCCTGGACTACAAAGGAAATCCCTGTCTCAAAAAAATAAAACAGGGGCTGGGGATTTAGCTCGGCGGCAAAAGCGCCTGCCTGGCAAGCGCAAGGTCGTGAGTCCGGTTCCCGGTACCGGAGAAAAACCAAACCAAACAAAACAAAACAAAACAAAACAAAAAAAACCAACAAAAAAAGTCTTACTTTAAAGTAATCTGGTTCTGTTAGAACAGGTGCACAGTTTTTCTTTTGTTTGTTTGAGAAGCATATTCACCATATATATTTTGGCCCAATTTTTCCACTAAGTGTAGAGATAGTGGGTAGGTTAAAATAAAAGACTCTCTGTTGCCTCTGACAATACTTATGGTGTCTTTTCCCATTTTCACCATTCCAAAAGGAGTAGCTTCCAGTCTGGTATGACCTCTAATAATTCTAAGGCATTTGGCTACATTTAACATGGCTCCCTGAAGGGCCTGTAAATCCTCAGAGCCAAGCACTCATTTTGATGCCAGAAATTATATTATCCAACTAGAATTTGGGTCATTTTGCTTAAAGCCTTGCCTTATTTAAAGATTCAAATATGCTCCAGGCTTCTTCACTGCCATAGTGTACACTGAATGAGTTAATCTTAACCTACACGTGTAGATTGTTAATAAACAGAATGTAGATAACTTGAAAATATAGTAGAGAAAAGTTGGAATCAACACCAAATGAGAGTAACACAAGGGGAAAAAAATGAGGTAGAAATAGAAAGACTATTTTTATTTCATTTACCCAGGTAGTATTTATTGCTAAGCACTGAGGACTTCTACATCTAGCCTCAAATGGACTTTTGGCAGTAGGTATACTAAGCAATTCTGTATCATTTGTTATTTTGCTGTTTTAATGTTGTTCTTTTCTTTTTCTTTTTTTTTCTTTTTGGTACCGGGAATCGAACTCACAACCTCGTGCTTGCTGGGCAGGTGCTGTGCTGCTGAGCTACATCCCCAGCCCATGCTGTTCATTTTTAATAGGCCAACTAATGCAGAGAATTTTTTAAGTCAAACTAACTAAAAGTGCCATTTTATGTAGCATTTTTATTTGGGATTATAAATTTAATTATTATTGTGATACATCAAAAATATAAAATTAACAGCATCATATGTACGTATGATCAGTTAATGAATTTTCCTAAGATAGTCTCTTTTGTTATTCTTACAGCAAACAGGAATTTGAGTCTACTGATACAGTAAGTACAAAATATTTAAAATCAAGTATAGTCGATTTTTAATGTTTAACTAATAATATCATTTCAATTTAGTACATTTATTAGACTGAAAACACAGATTGGTGAAAAAAATAATTATTATTTTGCCTTTTGAATAATATAACCATCATTTAAATTTTTGTAGTGGCTATAAAAAGCCATTCACAAAGAATGTTTTATCAGCTGGCACTTTAGGATTCAATTTTAGCAGAACATTTAAATTTTCCTTGATTACATATTCTCTGCTTTAGAAAACTGAAATCTACGCAATCAACTAAATAAAGAGCAAATTTAGTTTTAATATGCTTCAAAACCTTGTTTGTGCCAGAAACTTGAAATAAATACTTTTTACATATGCAATTTTTAAATAATTTCTTTAATGGGATAAGTAATTGAGAAAACTGATTTCAATGCAAAAAATCACAATCATATCTTTTGTGTTAATTTTTAATCTCAATTTCAATGTGTGTTGATACACTGCATTAATTATAATAATTCAGTAAACCCAAATTACATTTGAAAAGCATTCATTTCGACTTCTCACTTAAAATTACTTGAAACTTACCAACATTGATATGATAATATAATCCTTCAAAAACCATGACAGTTCTTTGTAAATTATTAATAAACTCTCTAATATCTTAATTTTATTTCTTAACATTTGCATTATTTAAAATTCAGCTTCTAAAATATCATATCTATCGTGTAAAAAAACTTCTAGTTATTGAGATTGAGATATACAATGAATGATATATTTAATGGAATTTAATAGACTATCTTAAAACTTGCCTTTTTTTCAGTTCTGGGGACTGAATCTGGACCTTGTGCATGCTCGGCAAGCAAGCATTCTATGATCCAGCGACATCCCTACCTAATCTTACATTGCTTTCTTAAAATCATAATGAAACATTTGATTGGTTTCCTGAAGTATTTTCCAAGAAAAAACTGGAATTTAGGGCTCCTTCCATGTGTATATAATGCAATCAATTTCTTAAAAATAAGAATAAGGATGTTGCTAGCAACTACTCCTCAACAACTTACTCTAAATATCCTTTAAAAATATGCCTCATTATGTAAAGTCATGTGGATGGATGACCCTAAGATTATGTACATTAATGTGTTCAATGGCTAAGCCTCTCTTTCCTTGCAGTCAGAAGACATTGAAGAACTAATTCCTAAAGGATTGTCAGAGTTTACAAAACAGCAAATTCGCTATATTCTGCAGGTGAGATCAACATTAACAAAATATAATATATTTAGTTGATTGTGTAGATTTCAGTTTTCTAAAGCAGAGAATACGTAATTGAGAAAAAAATGTCCCAAATAAAAAAAAATAATGTTTCACAAGGCTTAATTATACTTTAATTGCATTATAGTTTAGTCAGGGCATCATAAACTAGTACTGAATGATTAAAATTCAGGAAGTCATACTAGAAATGTTACCCTCTGCTGTCAAATATCCTTATTGACTCTTCAATGCTTTAATACTGTTTGGCCCTAACTCATGATCTTTGCTATTCTCTATTTCATTCCAAACTCTACACAGTACTATCCCACACCCACACTGGTGATGAGATAGAACGGGCAAAAATGCCTTGCTTTTCCTAAGTTGTAGAAGGCTAGAGACCAGTGGAATAGAAACTTTTCCCATGAAGAAGGGAGAAACAATAAATCAAGACAGCTACCTAGGAAATAGGACTAAAAAGGAGAGTATATATATTTGCAAGAAAACATTCTAAAAATAATTAAATTTTATTTGGTAAGGCCAATGTCTAAGTTTGATATTTGTCCTTAGACATTTGTTAATCATCCAAGTATGACCATGATGATGTATTTTTCAAACTTAAATACTTTTAGAGGAATATGGCATTATAAAGAGATGGTAGTACGGGAAACATATGCTTCTTAAAACTTGAATCTTAGAAGCACCCTAGGTATTTTATCTAACAGGGGGATGCCCATCCAAAATGTATTCAAAGGTTCTTTCTTTGAACAACACTTTCTGAGAATTTTTACATGTAAATTCATGAAAGCCTTTGATTTGTAGTTTTGTTATTTTTTAAAATCAGAGTAGTACTAACTTTATAAAGAGAATTGGGGAGTTTTTCTACCTTTTCAATTTTCCAGAAAAGACTTTGAATATACTATTAATTTTAAGTTAAACATTTGATAGAATTTTCCAGTCTGGAGATTGGTTTCTTGGGAAGTTTTTGAAACTCCAAGTTCAAGTCCTGCATAGTTTTGAGGCCATTTAAAGGGTCTGTTTCATACTGTGTGGCCTGTGGTAACTTGTTTCTTTCAAAACAATTGTCTATTAAAGAAGTTGAAAAGCCTGTGATATGTGCATGTGTCTACTTGTTCATAGCATTCCCGTATTATCTTTTGGTGACTGCAATACATGTTGCGAATCTCTGTTTTAATTTGTGGTACTAATAGTTTATGTCTTCTTTTCTTCAGTCCTATTAGAGGTTTATCAATTCTAATAAATTTTTTCAAGGAAGCAGATTTCAGTATCATTGGTCTTCCCTATCACTTTTTTTTTTGCACTTTCACTGATTTCTGTTTTCAAATTCCTAAAAATAATAGATTTTTATGACCTCAACATGTGAAATGATGTTCCTTTCCTTCCTTTGCTTGCTTTCGTTTCACTTTGTTTTTCTTCATCAAGTTGCTTGACACAGGAACTTGAATTATTGCCTTAAAATGATTCTTGTTTTCCAATATAAACAATTAGTGCTATAAACATCCCTCCTTGCAGAACTTTAGCAGTGTCTTGCAGATTTTGTTTTTTTGTTTTCGTTTTATTTCAGTTCTGTGTATTTTTATTTTCCTTCAGATTTCTGAATTCATTTATGGATTTTTTAAAAGTTTATGGTTTTTTGAACTTGTTTATGGATATTCCTTTTGCTTTTAGTTATTGATTTTTAGTTTGATAGCATTATGGTCAAAGAACATACTCTGAGCTCAAATCCTTTAAAATGGTTAATAAGGATATGGTATACCTAGATATATGTGCTGGGGCACTTGTAAACCATGTGTGCTCTGTTGGATGGAGTATTTTGAAGATATTGATTAGATTATGTGGTTTTGGTGTTGTTGAGTTTTTCGATATCCTTGTTTTTTCTTGAGGCATTGTACTTTTTATTTGTTTCATGTCAGTTTGTAATTTCTTGATGAAGCATTATATAGTGGTTGCTTAAAACACTTGACAGATAATTCTAACATTTCTGTTATTCTGATATTGCCATTTCTTTGATTTTTGAATAAAGATTTTTTTATGCTGAGAATAAAGAATGTTTTTCTATTGAAAGGAAGGTATTATTTGTGTTATGACATTCTGGGTATTGTTGTTTTTAAAAATTTTTATTAGTATATGTCTGTGATGCCTAAAAAGTACATTCATTATAGTGAATTAGTCCATATATATTATCACATCCTGATCCACTTTCTTCCCCTTTCCCATCTCCCCCAGCTCCAGATCCTCTTCCTATCTCCACGAAATCTATTTCCATTTTGCCTGTCATCTTTTGTGCTCTTTAAATTATGTATACTTTGGATTTTTTCAAATAGAAAACCTACAATATTTAACCTCCTCTGCATGGTTTATTTCACTTAGCATTATGAATTTAAGATTCATGTTTTCCTAAAATTCACTCAAAAGTTGTACTTTTTGTGGCTGAGTAGTAATCTATTGTGTATATATACCACATTTCTTTTTCCATTTGTGTGTTAATGGACATACAGGCCATTTTCCAATTTAGCTACTATGAGTTGTGCTGCTATAAACATGAGTGGGCATATGTCATTATAATATGATCTCTTTAACTCTTTTGGGAATACATTCAGAAGAGCTATAGCTAGGTTGAAAGAGATTTATATTTTTCATTTTTTGAGAAATCTACGTACTGATGTCCACAGTGGTTGTACTAGTTTACATTCCCACTAGCAATGTAACAGGGTTCCTTTTTACCCACAACAACACCGACATTTCTTGTTTTTTGATTTCTTGATAATAGCCATTCTTTCTATAGTAAGAATCTCAGTGATGTTTAGATTTGCATTTCTCTAATAGTAAAAGATGCTGAACATTTTTTCACATACCTATTGGCTATTTGTACTTCTCTGGGAAGTGTCCATTCATTTCAGTGACTCACTTTTAGATTGGGTCTTTTATTATTTAGGTTCCATTTTTTATTTCTATGTATATTCTAGATATTAGTTCTCTGTCTCAGGAGCAGCTGGAAAAGTTCCTTTCCCATTATGTAGGTTATCTCTTCACTGTTAGTTGTTTTCTCTAGATAGTATAATAACTTCTAATTTGATATAACCTCGTTTGTTGATTCTTGATGTTATTTTTCTACATTTGGGTTTCTGTTCAGAAAAATCCTTGCCTAAGCCTATGTCTTCAAGAGTTTTACCTATTTTTTTCCTAGCAGACTTAGTGTTTCTGTTCATATATCTAGATCGTTCATTCATTTTTATTTCATTTTAGTACAAAGTAAGAGATATGGGTCAAGATTTATTTTTCTGTACAGAGATAACCAATTTTCTTACTGTATTTCCCCAAAATAATTTTTGCACCAAAAGATACAATAGGGCATGTTTTCAGAGGATGTGTTACTTTTTCATAAACAATAATCTACATTTAACATGTACAACAATCTACATTTATTCATTTATTCATGTACAAAAATATACACTTATTTAAATACAGTCATGTCATATTCTGGAAAATTGTCATAACTCTCCAAACCTCAAATTCTGGCCTGAATTACTTGCAACTCCATTTCCTGTAGAGCCATTGACCCAAACCCCTCCTGTCCAGGTAGAGTGCTGTCCTTGTAGCCGGTCATAGTGAGCACTTTGTGTCCATGTAGCCTAGTCATAGTACACTGGAAACACAGCTGTCAGTGATTTTTTCCCCTGAAATCTTCACTCAAGACACAACCTCTTGGAAGCTAGGCTTCACAGAGTTTCCATTAAATCAAGCATTAATTGAAGATTTATGAGACAGGAGTAGTGATAAAAATGATGAAAAATAAGAATGATAGTCCATACAAAAGGAACAAAAAATTGTATGCAGAACCTTCAGAAAATGTTTATTTCACATGATTGCATTAAGTACATCCATTATAACACACAATGTGTTGAATTGTGACGATTCATACTAGACAAAACGATGTCCATTCCTTACCAAGTGTGCATGTTATTCATGTGTTGTGTCCGTATTCTGACTGGTCATTTGACAATAAGCCTCAAGTTCATCTGTTTACATAGGAGTTCACTTCTTGCCCAAAGGTACCCCCTTGGATATTTGCAAATTGTAATTTATATTATCATTTATTTATTTTAAGTATTAGTGTCAATAATATTTATTCACATTTAATTATATATAAATATTATTATTTTACAGTTCAGTGCTTCAATCATGTGCTGCAACAGACATACTAAATGCGTCTGTTTGGCTGACAATAAATGGAGCTTATTTTGTGGATAGGGTTTAAATTACAAACATCCTGAACAAACATGCTAGGGATTATTTTTCAGTTAGGTCTTATTTGCAGGAAAATACAGTAGAACAATTTGTTAAAGAGGCTATCTTTTCTCTGTTGTGTATTTTTAGAACCTTTTGAAAAATAAGATGCTTCTTCAGTTATATTCCATTGATAAACATGTCTGTTTTTTGTGCCAGTACTGTTATTTTTATCATTGTAGCTTTGTTTTATAACTTGAAATCAGGATTGTGATGTGTTATGGTTTGTGTCTAAATGTCCCCCCACAAAGCCTCATGTACTTTTTTTATCTTTTGGAGACGGGGTCTTACTATGCATTTCAGGCTGGCCTTGGACTTACTTTGTAGCCCAGGCTGGTCTCGAACACACTTTGGTCCTCCTGCCTCAGCCTCCTGCCTCAGACTCCCGAGTGCTGGGATTACAGGTGTGCACCACCATGCCCAGCTCTCATGCACTTTTAGATGAGGCTTTTTCAGAGGTTTATGATTGATTCATGGTTCAATGCTGTTATTAAGGGTGCTGGGATTAAGGGTGGGTGATTGCTAGATCAGTCTATTGATTAGGTTCGTACTGCCCTAATCCCAGCGGTCTGGATAAGACAAAAAGGGCACAAAGAGGATTGTTTTCCCCTCCTCTCTTGATGCTGTGGGTGTCTTCTGCCAGCATTAACTGTTACGCCTGTGCCATGTGCTACCCTGCCTTGGAGCTAGCCAATTATGGACTGAAACCTCTACAGACTGTGAGCTAAAAAAAGCCTGTTCCCTCTTTAACTTTGGGTGTCGGGTATTTTGTCCTAGCAATGAGAAAAGTAATTAAGACATGATGACATTTATTTTTCTGTTACTGGTCAGGATTACTTTGGCTGTTCTTGTTCTCTTCTGGTTCCACATAAATTTTAGGATTTTTTTTCTACTTCTATGAAAAATGCTGTTGAGTTTTTTAGAGTTACAAATCTATATATTGTTTTTGTAATATGGCCATTTTGATAATAGTGGTTTTGCCTATACAGGAAAAGGGATATTCTTTCCTTTTTCTGATGTCCTCGTCAATCTCAGACAACTATAGTTTTCCATATATAGGTACTTTATCTCCTTGGTTAGGTTAATTTCTAGGTATTTATTAAGTATCTGGTGAGTCTGTTCAGTGGTGTGGTTTAACTCTGATATTTCTTTGATGAATTTTTTGGTCTCATTGACCCATCTATTTCTGAGAATGGGGTATTGATGTCCCCTATTTTGGTTGTCTTGGTGTCTATGAATCCTTTTATGTCTGATAGTTTTTGTTTAATTAAGTTTCGTGTGCCAGCATTCTGTGATTACACATTTATCATTGGTATCTCTTCCTCTTGAATTGTTCCTTTGTCAGGATGTGATGGCCATCTTTGCCACTTTTGATCAGTTTGGCTTGAAGTCCCTTGTGCTGGAAAATAAGATAGCTATGCTTATCTGTTTTGGTGAGCCAGTTGCATGGAGTATCATCTTCTATTTTTTCATTTTCAGTCTATGTGCTTATCTTTGGGTGAGATGTGCCTTTTGCAGGCAACATATGGCTGGATTTTGTTTTTTGATTCAATCTGCCAGCCTGTATCTTTTGATTAGGGAGTTAAGGCCAATGACATTGAGAGTCATTTTTGTAAGGTATTTATTAAATCTTGTCATTACATTATTTTCCCAGTGCTGCTCACTTTACTTTTTTCTTTTTCTTTAACTACTCTCTCCATTAGATGTATATTTTCCTTTAGGCTCTTTGCAGCTGCCCACATTGCTGTCTTTTTCTAGGATACCTATATTTTCTGTGATGCTAGTATAGTGGTCATGCATTTCTTTGGGTGCTCTTTGTCATGGAGTCTTTACTTCTCCACTAATTTTGAAGGGTAGTTTTGCAGGATACAGAAGTCTTTTGACTATTGCTTTCTTTTAGGCCTCAAAACTTTGTTCTAAGCCCTTCTGGCATCTAAGATTTGCCCTTAGGATTTTGTTGTTTTTATAACAGGTTTGCATTTATAGGTTTCTTGCTCTTTTCCTGTAATACCTTCAAATTTTGTTTCTGTTGAATTTATGGAATTTTTATTATGATTGTGTTGTGGACAGTTCCTTTCCTAGTGGTGGTTATCTGGGGTCTACATGTCTCTTATACTTGAATATTGAATCCTTTCCCTAGATTTGAAATTTTTTCTTCTTATTTCAGTGAATAAATTTTTATACCTTTTGAGTTGTTTTCTAATTTTGCATTTATTCTTATAATTTAGAGTTGTCCCTTTTTTCATCTAGCAGCTACTTCATTCAGCTTCCATTCTTTCTTATTGCTTTTTGGATGTCACAGAGTACGAGATCTACTGTACCAACCTTGTCGTCTTGTCGCAAGTTCTTAACACTGTTTCCTCACCTTGGCCAAACTGTGCTACCCATGCTTTCCATTGAACTTTTTACATTCTGATTTTCTGCTTGATTTCTTTTCACAATTTCTAATTACTTACCAAAATGTTCATTCATATTTTGTATTATTTTGTTTAACTCAGTCAACTTATTGTCTGTTTCTGCTTTAAGCTCACAGAATGTTTTATTAGCTTATTTCTCTGTTAATTTAAACCATCTTATGAATTTGCATGAATGTTTCTTCTTTAAGCTCTCAAAATATTTTGACCATTCGGCTTTTGAGTCCTTTGCTTGTAACAACTTCTACTTCCTTCTATTCTTGGGGAGTTAAGTAGTTTTGGAGGCATCTTCTTACTTGAATTTTCATGTTTATATTGTTTTTATACTGCAGCTTAAAGATTGTTTTGTGTAAAAAATAACTGGCAAAACTATGGTGATCTCTTTGGTTACATTCTTTGTTTTGTTTTTTGTTTTGTCTTTTTGAGACAGGGTCTCGCTCTGCAGTTCAGGCTGGCCTTGAGCTCACTTTGTAGCCCAGGCTGGTCTTGAACTCGCAAGGATCCTCCTGCCTCAGCCTCCCGAGTGCTGGGATTACAGGGGTGCGCCACCACGCCCGGCCTTTGGTTACATTCTTTCTCTACTGTTAGTTTTGTTTATGTTTATACTCACCTTCAACCTACTCAATGTAATATTTGAGAGTTTTCTTAGTATCCAAACTTTTGCTGTGGGTTTCATCCCCAGCAATTCTCAGAAAGAAGTAAACAAACTTCAGTAATGTTGTCAACACATAGATAAATCAGATATTGGCATAAAGTAAACACCAACTCCAAGCAAGAACTATGCCACTATTAGCAATAGAAATCAGCAATACTAACAGAGTCATGGATGAACTGAATATTCATACCATAAAGATCAATAAATACTACAACTATCCTACCCTTAACAATAGAAGAGTTCTGCAATGATAGTATAGTCGCAAAGGCATACTAAATATTGATGTATGGTAAATATCTTCTAAAAGCAATAACAATGTCACCATTAACAATAGAAAGAAATCAGCAATAATAGCATAAATGAAATAGCTAAAATTCAACATAACTTTTAATCATTGGAGTATAGTGGATATTGTCTAAAAGTTATCTGTATTACTCGGCTGCAAAACAAACAAAAAAAAATCAAGGGACTCATTATTGTGTCTTTCCTCAGTGCCAAAGGACCTAGCTGGTCCTCATTCTTTTCACCATTCTGAACCTTTTAATATTCCTTTTTTATATAATGAACAGTGCTGTTTTATACTAAGAGGACTAGGGAAAATAGTTCTCCTCCATCTTTCTATAAGTTGAAGTTGTCTTTTTAAAGTATTTTCTTTAAGAAGAATTTTCTTTAAACAAATGAGAATAAATTTCTCTCCCTCTTCTTTAGAATTAGAGATGGTTCTGTACTTCAAAGTTATACTTAATTAGTATTGTATTCTCCTTACTTTAGGCAAAACCTATACCCTTGGCTTCAAACTTAGGGAAATTCATTTTATTACTTGAAGGTTGACTGTCTCATCTGTTTTAACTTTTAAAGAAAAAAATTAAATTTTAATACAGACTTTGTGGATGGAATTCTACCTTTTGTGAAAAATGATAGTTTCCCATGGAAAAAATAATAAATCCTTTTGCCAAATATCTATGTATTATCCCTTTAGGAATATTGCTTGAATTGCTTAAACACATAATTAACTAAATACTTTGTGTTATATCAATGTTGTCCTATCACAAAGAAAATTGTAAATATTTTTCCTGGCAGGAACAAAAATAAGATTACTTTCTCTTATATTACCTATTTTCAAATGTTAGTAAAAATAAACCATCACTTATTTTTTTCCTATAGATGAGGGATATGTCTGATAAATCACTCCGGCTAATACTATCAACATTCAGTAACATAAGGGAGGAGCTTGGACACCTTCAAAATGACTTGACAGTAAGATTTATTTTGATTTCTTTCCAAATCCTTTCCAATTCTTAACTTCCTAACAGAAATGATATTCAGTGTACTTTTTAAAAATTTAATACAGATTTTGCTTACCCAGATATAGCCAACTTACTTTCTTGAAATAGTCAATTAGTATTAAAAGGGGAGAAGCTGTCCAAAGTGTAAATGAAAGAATGTTGTGTGTGCATTTATTTAGTTTACACTAAGGTAATTAATGCTTAAAGTCAGGAAGTAGCCAGCAGAATGAGAATAATCTCACTCATTGACTGGGAACTTACCCCTTTTCAGTATAGTAAAGCATACTCTGATTTTGTCATCAAACATAATTTGAAAATTTTTTTGTCTAAGAATTTAATCTTTTCTGTTTCCTACTTTATTGTTTCTGTTCTCAACAGCTAGATACATTCAGAACACTTTCCATGTGATTAACTCCTTGAGAACTTTCAAGTGACTTAGGTATTTTTTTTTTTTTTGGCTTTGATGAATATAGTTAGTCTTTAACTTGAAAATGCACTACCCACTGAAATTAACAAGGAGTATTTACAGATTAAAGAAAACATTAAAATACTTCAGAAGGTTCTGCTTCATTGCACTGAGAGTTACTCAATCCATTAAAATGTCCCTTTCAATACACATTTTTAAAATGTCATCATTTTAACCTGCATTTGGCTTAACTTTCATGAATTCTGTTTTATTAAGCACCTACAAGTGGAACAAGTGCTGTTGTAAATCTTTCAGTGTAAACAAGTCTTTGTACTATATGTCTATTGGCAAGATTTTATAATTCTAAGTGATAATAACTTCTGCTTTTAGTCACTAGAAAATGACAAGGTAAGACTGGAGAAGGACTTGGCATTCAAAGAATCTCAAATAAAAGAGTATGAAGAACTCTTGGCATCAGTGAGAGCAAATAATCGCCAGCAGCAAGTAAGTTGATGCTTTTGTTGATGATAAGCTAGATGAATAGCTTTTTGTATGTACAGTTACTGGCATATTACAGTTTAGAGATTCAATATGAAGTTAAAATATGATGGAACAATGTGCTCATATGAGAAATGACTGGCTTTAGGTATTTCAAATGACTGAATACTCTCTCAGATAAATTTACACACTCTAAATAAAAAATACACACAATCACAAGTATTTCTGTTGTTGAGTGATGACAAGAATTATATAAACACTGAAAATCTATGTTCAAGATCATATAATCTAGTAATGTGTTAACTAAAAAAGCATTTATAGATCTTAAATTGTGTATGTACCATGAACAATAAAGAAATATATGAGTTCTAATGGAGTTCTCCAGACTTTTGAGCACAGCTAATTCCTAGAAAACTGTAATGAATCTCTAAGGCTTACCTTTTTTTAACCTTCACTCTCATGACTGTCCCGAATTCTTACCTAGTTGCTAGTTGTCACATGTATAACCAGGCAATATTGGTGACTACAATATTGTCAAATAATATGAAGAATCTGAATACTAATTGAAACACTGAAAACTCAGCTGGTAATGATTGCTTTTTACTCAAGATAGTCAAGTTAGCGTAGGGGCAAAACTAATATATGGCTGATTTAACATAAAAGCTAAGATTAAAAATGTAAGAAAATGTGCATGGAAAACTATTTGCTTGATTTGACTGAACCAATTAATTAAAAGAGTACTCCCCTGCAAAAAGTGAAATGCATTTGCTTTTTGTATTTGTGTCTTCTTTACAGAAAGGACTTCAAGATTCAAGCTCAAAATGCCAGGCATTGGAAGAAAATAATCTTTCTCTTCGACATACACTATCAGATATGGAGTACAAATTAAAAGAACTGGAGTATTGTAAATGTAATTTAGAACAAGAGAATAAAAATCTTAGATTGCAGGTATTAAAAGTTTTTTTTAAATATATATGGTTGCTTCAATACTACCATTAAAATCCTAGCACTGGCACTAGTTAAAACATATATCTATATAGGTATCATCAGTCTATTTATGAATATATATATTATATTTATCTTGAAAATGGCACAGATGGCTTTCAGATGACTTCACACATGGGTCTTATACTAATATTTGAATGTTATAAAAACAGATTCTGAAAATTTCTCATTATTTTAATGTCATACTTAGTCATGTGGTTTTCATGTAATTAGTAAACCTTTTAACATGTATTTTCTTCACATCAGTACAATTACAAAAAGTTATTTTGTCTTGTGTAGGTTTCTGAGACTTGTACAGGCCCAATGTTGCAGGCTAAAATGGATGAAATTGGCAAACATTATATGGAGATGGTAAAAAACTTGAGACTAGAGAAAGACCGAGAGATCTCCAAGCTAAGGGTATGTGGATCCTACATTGTATAAGTACATAGTTCAACAAAATCATACTAGTTACAAGCTTGAAGCTACGCGAAAAAATCAACTGAAGTCATAGGAATATGCCACAGAACACTTTGTTTTAAATATATGTCACTGCTATCTATTTTAACTTAATCTCCTACAGAGTAGGAAACTAAGACATTAATTCATTGCTTTGTGTTTTTTATAAATTTACTTTGTGGGTAGGTGGAAGAGCCTTTATGATCATGCTTAAAGCATGTTTATTTGGGCAGGAGCAATATTCAAGATTATTCAGCAAAGCTAGAATTGAATTAATAAAAATCCATACTTTGAGATATGATAAAGATCAATGACTTCATCAAGCACAAGGATAAAAATATTGTTAGATCTTATGTACGTGTAACTGGTATCAAAGTCAGGGTGCTTGCAAGGATAAGTATGTAGTATTTTTTTACCTTGAAATTCTTTGTTGAATTGACTTAGTCTAACCCTTAATTTATTGATTCCTAAATGTAATTAAATATACTTAACTATTTTAGTGGACAAAATAATTGCTTTAGTCAGCGATCCCATTGCTGGATACAATATCCAACACATAGAATTTAAAAGAGAAAAGGTTTAATTTAGCTCAAAGTGTGTGGAGATTCGATCCACTGTCAGCTGACGCCAGGAGAGGAATATCATGCCAAAAAGGCATGGCAGAGCAAAGCTGCTTTGTTCTTGCTGGCTGAGGGGCACAGCAGGGGAACAACAATCAGGTGAAGGACCATATAGACCACCCAAGGCCATGCCTCCATGATCCACCCAAACACACCCCAGAGCTTGCTACACTAACTTGCTAGGTGTTTCTTAATCTAACAAATTTGCCATATCAGATGACAATGATCAAAGATTTTTCTCTCCAAATATCACTTTACAATCTTTACGAATGAATAAAAATGAAACAAAGTGTACTTTGTTTAAAAGCGTACTGATTATTCTACCAGATTTCTTCTACCGGTTTCCACTTCCATCACAACATTACTAATAGCACTCTAACCTACAAGCCATCTATGTGTACACATGTGATGAAGAGAAAATGGACAAGATTTGTAGTCAGAACACCTGTGTTAGAATTGCAGGTTTATTACTAGGTAATTCTGTGCCCTCTAACCACTGAAATTCAGTTACCTCTTGTAAATAAAGATTACAATAATGCTTATTTCACACGGATGCTATGAGTACTGAGACAAGTCGGGGAGGAGAAATAACTTGTGAACTGAAAATCACAGCAAAATATTAGTATTCAAATATTAGGAATCCAAAGTTCCTGTCTCCTTAGCTTTATTTTAATTACTGGACCACAAGATAATAGTTCCAAATAGTAAAGGCTTCTTTAAAAAATGAGAATTTCCTAACTGGGATTTCAATTCATAACATTTATAGAAGTTTATATTTATAGTTACTTTGCTTTTCATTTCATCCTTAGCTATACTGACTTCGTGGTAACCAAACCACACTGGAATTTAGTTACATTTTTTATCAGTGAAGCTTATAATAATACTTATTTCATTCTAAATCCTTAGTCGCAATTAAACCAGTACCAAAAAGATGTTTCAAGAAGAGAAGGAAGCTGTAGTGACTTCCAGTTCAAGCTACATGAACTGACAAGCTTGCTGGAAGAGAAGGATTCCCTCATAAAGCGCCAGTCAGAGGTAAAGAAAGTTAAGGGCTGGGGTGGAGAACACTAATACAACTCAGTAATGTAAGAAAAATATTTCCTGTGGACTAGAAAAACACACATACCCAAGACATTTAATTATATATGCCAGTGCATTGAAGGAGAAGATTTATATTTCAGGAGAAATAATTCAAATGAAATATGGAATTTAAGCAAAAATTAAGTGCTACTGTACTGCACTGTGAACATTTTTAAGACACTGACTTTATCTTTTACTAGTAGTAAAACTCCCCAGAATCCTGTGAGCTTCTTAATATATTACGAGCTGCTTCATCAAGGGACTGTATTATATTTCTTCCTGTATCTGCAGCATATAGCCTAGCATCTGGCATATAAGTACTAAAGAAACTACCAAAAGTGGTGGGTAATTTATTACTATTATTGAATAAATGCTACTTAGAGTTAAAATTTACTGATCAATTTCTGTTATGAAGCTACATCTACTTCCATGTTGAAGCTTCCATACTTTTATGCTTTGGCTATATTTATCGAGCTTTTTATAACAAAAAGTTTCACACCTTTATCTTGAGAACTGTAACCATTCGATTTCAAGTTATCTACCAAATATAGATTTCCTACTTTAGTTAGTGATTTCCTCCAAACCCATATAGCTTCTTGAGTACTGTGAAGAAATGCTATATGCTATTCAATACTTCAGATGTGAACACAGCACAAGCTTAAAAAAGAAGGGAGTAGTAATTATTAGTATCCTTGTTATATGATCAAACCTACTTTTTACCTCATGTTTCTACTTTTTTTCAAATGATTGTATTGTCTTCTACTTGTAAGGAACTCTCAAAGTTGAGACAAGAAATATACTCATCTCATAACCAATCCTCCAGTGGTGGAAGGACTACTATCACCACCAAAAAGTAATGTATTTTTCAATTAAATTATAATGTGATTTTTACTATATGATTTAAGTGATTGTACTGTTAACTGATAAAGATACATAACAATATAGATACTACTAGACAGAATTTGGTATTTCTTACTAGCCAGTAATTCTACTAAACAATAAATATTCATAACACATCGATATTATGTTAAATACAATCCTGTAACTACCTTCCCTATATTTACACTGTGTTAAGTACTATGGAAGTGAAAAGAAATACTTGATGCTTTAACCAACCACATTAGGTTGGACTCACTGAGTTGCACATGATGACACCCAATTTAAACTGAAATATAGTAAATGTACTTAGTGGTAGTTGGTTAATGTTCAGATGGATATGAATGCTCAAAATAGGTCTTCATAAATCTTTTTCTGTATCTTGGCTCTGCTCTCTCCTGTGTAGACATCACCCTCACACAGTTTCCCCTCACAGTAGTGACATGACTGCAGCTTACATTCCAGCAATTTTGCAAAACAAAATAGAAAGTAACTATGTTTTGTCTATGTACCAACTCTCTCACAATGAATGTGCTGCAAGTATGCACTAATAAAATTTTTTTAAAGTGTCAGTAAATGTCTACTTTGGATAGTTCATGTAAATGGAATAATTGTGACTTTAGTTTGCATTTTCAAGATGTGTTCATGTTTTAGCATATGGCAGGACTTCACTCTTTTTGTTGCTAATAATATCCCATTTTATAAATGTACAACATTTTAATCTAGTTACCAGGTAATGAATATTTGCATTGCTTTAAATTTTTGGCTGTTATGAGTAATACTATGAATACATTTGTACAAATTTATGTAGAATATGTACTCATTTCTTTTGAGAATATACCTAGGAGTTGAGTATGTAGGTGACATGGTAACTCAACCTTTAACTTTTGAGGAACTGCCATAATGGTTTTTAAAGCAGCTGCACCAGTGTACATCCCTATTAGCAGTGGAGTTCATTTTTGTGCATTGGAGTATCCAGTTGTCCCAGTACAAGTTGTACAGCATGCTATTTCTTCTTCTACTGAACTGACTTGGTACCCTTCTCTAGAATTAAATGACCTTAAATGTAGGGGTAACATTTCAGATTCTCAGTTTTATTCTTTCATTTTGTCTTTTAGTAAATGCTGCAGTGTCTTGAATAGCATAGCTTTTTAGTAAGTTTTGAAATTATGAGTGTGAGTCTTCATACTATGCTTCTTTCCAAGATTGTTTTGGCTATTATTGGTTCCTAGTTTTTCCATATTAATCTTATGATAATTTTGTTAATTTCTAAACAAGTTCCATCTCAGATTTTTATAGGAATTTCATTGACTATGCACAAAAATGGGTTACATTATAATCTTAATATTAAATCTTCTGATACAACAGCATAGGACACCTTTCTACTTACAGCTTCTTTAATGTTTTTTATTTTTGTTTTGTTTTGTTTCTCGTTTTTGCTTTGATTTCTTTTGTAGTGCTGGGGACCAAACTCAGGACCTCACACATGCTAAGTAAGCACTACACGACACCCTCAGCTTTATTTTCTCAAGGCTACTTTACTTTTAATTTTCATTGTATAAGTGCCTTAGTTATCTTCTCATTGCTAGGATAAAATACCTGATACCTACAAGTTAAAGAAGGAAAGTTTTATTTTAGCTCACGCTTTGTAGAGGTTTCAGTCCATAATCTGGCTCCAAGGCAGGGTGGCATTACAGAGGGGAAATAGTCTATGGCAGGGAAGGCAGAAAAGAGCAGTAAGTCTTCGTCTCTCTTTCATTTCATGTAAACTATAAGACAGTTGGATGGTGCCACCCATACCCAGGTTAGACCTTCCTATTATCCACACTTAGAACTATGCTAAACTAAGCAGTGGACTAATCCACTTATCACACCCTTAATGCAGTATCACCAGCCTCTGATCTAGGTACTCACAAAAGCCTCATCTTGGAGCACATGAAGCTTTGGGGGTCATTTTAGATATAAACCATAACAAAAGTCTAAAAGTTCTTTTGCTAATTTATTCATAAGTATTACATTCCTTATTAATTTTTAAACTTTTATTAGCACATAATGATTATATTCATCATGAGGAATTGGTGTATGTACATAACACATTATTTTTATTTTCCCTTTCTTCCCTCCACCTCCATCTCTAGATAATCTTTCCATTTGCAAAAGATCTATATTCATGTTCCCTATTATTTATCTTTTATTTTGTCTTTTAAATTATTTATACTTCAGGTTTTTCATATAACAGAAACCATGTGACATTTCAATTTATGTGCTTGATTTATTTCACTTAACATTATGGTCTCAAGGTACATGCATTTTTCTACAAGTGACTTGAGTTTGTCTTTCTTTATGGCTAAGTAGTGCTGTGTATATATATTCCATTTTCTTTACCTACTGATCTGTTGATGGACATACAGGCCACTTCCAAGATTTAGCTATTATGATTTGTGTTGCTATAACATGGGTAATCATGTATCAGTGTAACACAATATCTTTTTCTATTTCAAGAAGATACCTATAGAAGAGGAATAGTTGGGTTGAATTTCTTCTTTTAGTTTTCTGAGGAATTTCCACTCTGATTTTCAGGATTGTACTAGTTACATTTCTACCAAAAACTGGATTCCATTTTCTGTGCAGCCTCGCCAGCATTTGTTATAATTTAATTCCTTGATGATATCCATACTTTCTGGAGTAAGATGGAATCTCAGTATTATTTTAACTTGCATTTTTAGTAGCTAGTAATGTTGAACTTTTTTCATATATTAATTGGCATTTTGTACTCATTGTGAGAAGTATGTATTCATTTCAGTTGCTCATTTTTGATTGGCCTTTTATATTACAGAGTCTAATATTTTTGTGTTCTTTATATATTCTAGATATTATTCCTCTGTCTGAGGAGAAGCCACCAAATTTCTTTTCTATTCTGTATGTTGTCTCTTAAATCTATTAGTTCTTTGCTGTGAAAAAGCTTTTCCATTTTGTTTTTCTGTCTTTATAAGTAGAATTGTTTACTTATTTTCACTTTCAGAGTGTTCATTACAAGTTATAGGACTGCAATTGATATTTTGTGTTCATCTTTTTTCTGCAATTTTGCTGAACTCATTTGCTACTTATAATAGTTTTTTATCAGACTTAAGATTTTTCTGTACGATTTTATCACTTGCAGATAATCATAGTTTCACTTCATTTTCTATCTAGATTCCAAAATTTTATTTTTATTGCCTAATTTCCCTTTAACCTTCAATGGTAAATGAAAGTGGCAAAAGTTCATACACATTTTTCTTGGACTGAGGGGAAAACATTCACTCTTTAATGGTTAAATATGATGTTAGCTGTGGGCTTTTATCAAGCTGAAGATGTACCTTTCTAATCTTAGCTTATGGAACTATTCTAAATCACAAAACTGTATTGAAATTTTTCAGATGCTTTTTATATACCTATTGAGACTATCAAGATTCTGTCCTTTATTCTATTAATATGATGCATGACATTAAAAGATGTTCTGATGTTGTGACAATCTTACATTCTTTGAATAATACCCACTTATTCATATTTTATAATAATCTTTATGTTACTGGATTTGGTTTAAAGAATTCTGTAGAGAATTTTTCATATTCATAAATGATACATATATAGTTTTGTGACATATGATATATGATCAAAATATACAAATGTTTAAGTAAAAAATTACAGTAAAAGACACATAGCCTTTAATCCCCCAAAATACTCTTCCACACTTTGACCACACTTATCCCATTATTCTTGACACTTTATGAAGTAGTTCTAGAACTCCTTTTTCCTGGGTGTCTTTACAAGTTATGATTAAAAAATACAATGAATACTGCTTCTGAGTGACATTCAACGGAAAGGCAGGTTTCTAAAACCAGTACAGAGTGTCCTCATCAACTTTATTTTGTTGATCTGTTACCATATGAATTCCCTAAAGTAAAAATGACTATGAAGTCAAGCATTTTCAATGGAATCAGGACACCGAGGCAGCCAGGACAGTGCAACAAAATACATGAAAAAAAAAAAGACTTCCACAACTGTTTCAAAAGTGACCATGATGGGACAAGGGTTTTCAAAGTAAGGAGATTAATGGCAATGTGTCTTTTACTGTAATACATTTTTAATTGAAAATTAACCATATGTTTTGATCACATCTCATATTTTCTGATGTTGTATCAGGGTAAAACCAGCCTTTTACCTTCATTTATTTCATTTCAGTAATGAAGAATTCTATTTGGAAGGATTGGTATCTTTTTTGTTTTGTTTTGTTTTGTTTTGTTTCCGGTACTGGGAACCAAACTCATGACCTCATGCTTGCCAGGCAGGCTCTGTGCTGCTGAGCTAAATCCCCAGCCCCCTGGAAGGATTGGTATCAATTATTCTTTAAATGACTGATAGTGTACTAGTTGGAGTTATTTGAGCCTAGGGTTTTCTTCGTGGGAATTTTTTAAATTACCAATTTAATCTCATTACTTGTTATACATGTATACAGTGGATATGTACCAAGTAGATGCCTGAAGGTTTAGATAGTATCAAACCCTATATTTACTGAAGTGTTTCTTACTCATTCTTTCCCTAGATCTTAACAACATGTTTTTTCCCTTATTAAGTTCAGAGTTTAACATTTTCCCTTAAAGGAAATATTTTTCTTTTTTGCATATCTGAATTACCAAATTGCTACTCGTAATTTGGGGCCATTCTGAATAGTTTCATGAACATAAGTATTGTGGTACCATGACTATTGACCTGATAAATGAGAAGCTACTAAGTTACTAACAGATAGGTAACATACATATATACAGCATGAATACAAGGAACGATTCACATCCCAAGAGGAGCAGGATAGCACAAGATTTCATTATCCTACTCAGAGCAGTGCAAATTTTAAAACTTGAAAATTGCATATTCTTGGAATTTTCCATTTAATATTTTGGGCATTTTACTGTCTTATTTTCACTATATCTGATGAAAACTATGTTGTTAATCCTGATTTTTTTTCTACTTGAGTACTGTTCTTTTATCTCTGGCTCTTTTTAGGATTTTCTACCACTGCCTTTTTAGCAATTTGGAAATGATATATCCTGCTGTGGTTTTCTTCATATTTATTTTTCTTGAGATTCACTAAACTTTTTGGATCTGTGTTCTTCAGATGTTAATCAAATTGGGAAATAATTTGGTTATTTCGTTTACTTTCTCTTTCTGTTTCCCGCCATTCTCTGACACACACATATAGCTACACACACACAGTGTACGTACATATAATGTATACAATAGTAATAATTCTCCATACATAACTCATGCTATGTGCTATTCTTGTTTTTTCTTTTATTTTAGACAATTTCTTTCAATGTCTTCAAATTTACCAGTGATTTAGTGTCTAGTCTGTTATTAATCTCACTCAGTATTATTTTTCTTTAGAACTCCAATGCAGTGTTTTTTCATATTCTCCATTTTCTTTCTCACTGTGCGAATATTTTCCTTTAACTTCTTAAATATGCATGGTATATTTATATATCTTTAACAGATGCAACTTTTCCACATTTTTCTTTTTCTTTTTTTTTTTTTTTTGTTACCAGGAATTGAACTCAGGACCTCACACTTGGCAGGCAGGCACTGTGCCACTGTGTTAAACTCCCAGTCCCCACCTCTTCCACATTTTATCAGTGTTATTTTTTGGTCTGTTTCTACTACTTTATTTTCTCTTGTTAGTCATGTCTTCCTGTTTCATTGCATGATTACTAACATTTAATATAATGTTACGTATTAAGATTTTAGATTGCTGAATTCTGGATATTTTTGCTACTACTTAAAATACTTGAAGGTTTTATTCTGGGGTTAAGTATGCTGTAATACAAACACTAAGTAAAAACCTGTAATAAAAATAACTTTCAAATAACTTAATGTCTCACTTTATAAACTGCTATAACAGCTAATGTTATCCTGCTACAAAAGCAGTACATATGTGTCTATGGGATGCCCACTATATTAGGTTTTCTCACCTTGCTAAGTGAAATACAAAACTTTACCGTCCCTGTGTGAGCTCAAGGTGATGCCAGGCTGCTTCTTTCCAATCTGTTTAAGCTGTGATAGCTTCTTCATATGCATATGTTGATGAGCTATAGGAAAGCCTGAATAGGTCTTATCTCTCAACTTGTGGTTTTCTCCTCTCTCATATTATGCCCTACAAATTCTGGCTGCCTTGGATACCTTTGCTGTAAACTCTGTTAACTCAATTTCTGAGACTTGAAAACTGTCTGATTTCCCTTTTTCTATCCTGTAGTCAAGAAAATCTCTCCAGGCAGAGTGCTAGGCACCTGCAGGGCTCATGTCATTTACATCCCCTTCTCTGGCACCACTGTCCTCTGCTGCCAGTGACCTGGCATAGCCAGAAAAAAAGGGTTCCTCTTTTGTTACTGCTTTTTAAAAAACACTGGTAATAAATTTTTGTTTATTGGGGGAGGATTTTTTTTAGTTTAAAGAGGCAAATTGGTTTAGTAAAGGAACTCTTTTCTCATGCCACCTGTAAACACTTTTCTTATGTACAGGTACAGGACACAGTATCCAATCCTAGGACTCCTGTATGATGACTATGAATATATACCACCAGGCAGTGACACACAGACAATTGTGATTGAGAAAACAGAAGACAAATGGACTTGTGTAAGTTTATGTGACATATATAGTCTTATTTTGACTACATTTTATCCTTTAAATATTAAGGTAAAATATCAAATGTCATAGACAGTTATGAAGATAGGAAAAGGCATGTTTCAATGAAATTTGTCTTGCATTCTTGACTATGATACCTATTTCTGTAGTATATAATCATTTTAGACTTTTGAAAGAAGAGAGATGTGTCTATTTTCTCACTGGACTATTAGGTCCTCCAGCTTTAAATCTTAAGTTTATAGTGAGGCTGCTGAACAGGCATTTCAATGTCCTGTACTCTAACATCTACCTTCTAAAACATCCTCAGAAATGAACAGGTAATGTAGACTTCAACATCTATTTTTTAAGTACTTTAGTGCATTGTTAAGGGGCTGGTTAGTAAAACCCTCTTCTTATAAAGGGCTGACAGCTACTTTCCTAGAACTTTTACAGATTAACTTACTAAGGTAGTGATCATCAAAGAGAAAATGTGTATTCTCTAGCAAAGCAGTTCTCTCCAGTGGTAATTTTGACCCCTGGAACACATTTCTAAATCTCTAAAGAAATTTTTGGTACTTATAAGTAGAAGGTGGGTATATTGGCATTTAGCGGGTAGAGGCCAAAGGTGTTGCGAATCATTCTATAATGTGGAAGATAATCCCTGACAAGAATTATCCTGCCCAAAGTGTTAATGGTGCTCAGGTTGAGAAACCTTTTCAATACAACAAAATACTTTTGGCTTTTTCCTAATTATACAGTCCTACACCCTTCTTGGAGATTCTAATAGTAATCCAGTGAGATCATAGGAATGTGTGATACTTCTCAGGTACAATGGACAAATGCTCGGGAATTCCAGCTCTCAAATCATACACAATCGAACTTAAAACACTGTGAAAATAACGTGGATTTTGTTAAAATTCCTACCTATCAAACTGCTTAGGTACTGAAAGCAGGCAGAATCAATCTATGACTATTAAAGTCAGTAAATGATTATTGTGGGAAAGTGAGCACAGATAGCAAAGAAAATATAAGGGCATTTTCGTTAGTAATACTCTGTTTCTTGAGCTGGGTGATGGATGCATACGCATGTTCAGTTTTTGAAAATTTAGTTAGGTGCTTGTACTATGTACTTTTTCTACATATTTATTCTACATCAAAATGTATACTGTGACAAGTAATTACTGAATATACAAATGGTAATCAAAATTCTGCAAAACCTTTTGAAGAAATCCTAAAATTACATTTCAAATGTCCTGTTAATAAAACTAAGCATTTGCTAAATAACTCACTTTAAAATATATTTTGGTTGAACAAACTCAATATGAGAAATGTGAAGTTTGATGCCCTTTCATAACATAACGAAGGTATCTATCTTGTAAATATGCTTGTCTGTCATCAGTGGAAGCAAGCAATTACTAGTAACCCTGAAACAAAAACATTCATGTAATTTGATCTTTAAAATGCTGTTTTTCTTAGGTCATTAATTAGTTAAGAGTTACTTATTACTATCACCAACTGTTAAAGGGTACCTGTAAAGCCAAGATTGAGATTAGTAGCAATTTAAAATTTGTCAATTGGGAATAATTTCATGCTGAAATCCAAGATTTAAAAACAACAGCTTCTATTAACCACATGTGCCCCAGAAGTGGCAGCAATGTGAGAAACTCCCAAATAAAGGGTCAAGAATAGTAGCCATTTCTCCTCTAGCCATTAAAACCTACAGCAATAAACATTGAAGGTGATATCTGGAGGGGAAATAGAGACTGGTAGCAAATTCAAAATATATTTAAGCAAGTTCACACATGATAGAACCATATCTATTATTAGAGACCTTTGCCCATATATTTAATGTCTAAATATGACACAAAGGATGAAATCTATTCAGTCCTCCCTCCTTCCTGTCATTTAAATATATACCTTGACTGAAGTCAGAGAAATCATTGTTTCAGTATCATACCAAACACCACAAAAGTGCAGTGCATTCCCTTTGTTCTTATATGTATCAATCAAAATAATATTCTGTAATTGTGTACATACACTATCTTTCTGAACCAACTGTAAGATAACCTTTCTTTTTCTTTTCTAGCCATGAATGAATCCACTTTAAACTTTTACAACTCAGAGAAGGCTTTCTATGTCTGCATTTGTATTTTAATTGCTATTTTTGTTGATAATGACTAATCAAAGTTTTGAACCATACCACTACCCAATGAATCAAATGGAAAGACTTAATTCTACACGAGTTTCTCCAGCTATTTATGAGATTTGAATCTTTTCTGTAACATTTATGTATTCAGTATACATACAAACCAAGAGAAATCTGCTAGTTTAAACTTTGATTGGAAACGCTATAGAACATAACCCACAATTTTTCAGACAGGTTGCTTTCTATATATTGAAATAAGTTGTATGGGGTAGAGACTTGGGAGATTTTCTCTGATGTGAGATGTGTAATTCTTCCACAAGATTTAATAATGTTTTTAACAAAAAGAGGCAAAAATTCACTGAAAAAATTTTTAAAATAGTTTACTGCATTATATATAGTCTACATTTGCTTTTCTCATATTAAGCCTCTGACTAAAAGAGCTGTTTTATTGCATGTTATTTACAACTCTTGGAAATATAACTGTATCAAAGGTGATAGTTAATTTTATTTAGCAGGGAAGTGGGATATCTTTTAAAATAACTAAATCCACTAATTTGTACATTATGCTACTTGGTTCTAAGTGCATGTCAGTCCCTTGGCAAATCTGTCATTTTGAAGCATTTTTGTCCCCAAATTATCCCACTCACATCCTTAAAAGCATATAACACTATATTGTAGCAGTAGGCAGATATAAGATAGAATTTTTCAGAGTTCTATACAAACATAACACTGAAATACTGTACAGATATAAAGGCTTAGGGGATAAATATAGCAACAACATATATTTGAGAGCTGTATCCCACTTGGAAGAAATATTTTATAATATTTAAAGTATTCAGTTTACCAAATGGACTCTAATTACTAAAGTGAACAGAGATATTTCTTAAATAATTACAGGAATGAAGTTTTTAAAACAATTTCTGCCAGTGGCAGTTAAGAAGTCAGCACTTTCCTGACCCACTTGATTTACACATAGATAGGGAATAAAGATTTATGAAAAGGTCCTCACCATACCTAAGGTTTTTTAAAACGCACACAAAATTTAGCAGTGCAGAGGACTATACTTTAAAATTACATATTTTGCTTGCAATTTGTGATTGAGATTAATGAAAAAGTAGTGATGTCTTTTCCTCTCACCAGTTTAAGGCAGTTTATGTGTGAAAACTGCAAGTATATCAGATGAAGAAAGCTTATTTATCTAATTTCTACTGTACTGTTTTCACTTTAGGCTTGTCCAATAAAATGGAGACTATAATGACATGCGAAGTAATTTGTTTATATGTCTAAGTATGTTAAATATCTGCATGGTTTTTGTGGAAGCTGGGGCAGGAAGTGTACAGATGGATTTTTAGATTAGCTTTCTATTTCCATTTTCGTCAGAAAGTTACCATGTATTTATTTTGGAACTAACAAGCACCACTCTAATAAAACAAACACTATGAAGACCTCCTGGTATAAAATCCTACAGATGGCACTTAACATGGACTTCCAATTGATTCAGATCTCTGCTTTAAATCAGAATTTCTTTGCTTAGAAATCTAGTTTTCTATGTTCTGTAACTCAACTTATTTCAGACATAAGCTTCCATAATGCATTCTTCCCATCTCTATAATGATGCTTTATCTGTTACTTTTCCTTAATATAGGCAGTACGGAAGGAAAAAAAATAAATCTTTAAAAAAATTGTATCTCTATGTATAATTTACATCACTTTAACAAAAACCCATCATCATATCATTATTGCAATCTACAGAAATATTTCTTTTGAAAGTAAATGTTGTGAAAATATTTCCTGAGATGGTATATATTCTCCATCACACAAATTAAACTTACTTCTTCCATGGTATTTTTGTGTAATTAAAAAATACAAAATATTTCATATTCACCCAAGGATAAACAGTAAATACAAAATATTTAAATACAGAACATAAGGAACACATCTTTTTAAATAAAATCTTTTAAAATATTTATAACAGAACAAGATATACTTTGTTTAGTCTTCAAAGGAATAGTGGAATTGTTATTTGATATAGTTACATGATGACCATTATCACTTTTTTGATAGTTTTGGTAATCTTAGATTTTTCCTCTTGTAGGCAATTAAATGCTAAATCGATGGTCTTGAACCTTGTATTCTCATCCTACCACACCAAAATGATAATTTTATTACAGAGGTACGTTTCCGAAATCTTTGAGGTGAAGAGGCAGCCTTTGCAATTTTTGTTTGATTCCGAAGACCACTTATCAACATGGTCACTGTTAAATACTTGTTCATATGTGCCAAGATCCAACAAAGCAGACCAGTTTCTTAAAATGGGAGTACAGGGTTTTTGATACAGTTCACTATAGAGGTCTGAAGGAAGTCATGCTATAATTGAGAAGTTTTACAATCTAGCAGTGATGGAAACCTTTCAGAGCTTTCAATGATACAGAGCCCACTGAGACATGCATGGCATAGGTTTGCCACCACTGATCTAGGATAACAGCATTTTGGAACCAAGTGAGATTAGGACTTACTTTAGAGGTTAAAAGATACAGTATCGTCAATTGGTTCATATTTAAAAATGGAGCAGGATTCTTTGGAATTACTTCGGAGACGTTCAAAGAAAAAGGCATAATAGCATTTGGAACATGCACATGAACCACTTTTAGTGTAGAATATAGTGCCAGAGCCTTGAACCTGCCCATAACAATATTCTTAAATATTTTTCTATCATGATTTAAGCCATTTAGAAGTGACAAATCGCCAAAACTATCTGCATGCACATAGTGGCCCTGAACTGTTTTGGAAAAATGATTCTCCATTAATTTCCATTTATTCTCTTGTGGAGGTACTCTGAACTGCAGTTCTACAGTTTTAGATGGAAGCTATTGTGCATATAGAGGTTTGTGCCAGTAAATTTGTATTTTCAAGGCAGCACTTCATTTGTAACTTGGGCTGAATTCATGTTTTACCTGGGAAGTTTTCTAGGCCCAATTTATAAAATAGTTATATTACTAATTTCTCTCAGTTCATTGAAAAGATAGGTTTGTGCTAATATTGGACAATGAAATGCTGACATGTCGTACTCTTGAGTACTTAAAGATAACCATGCAATGTATTAATTGTTGTTACCCTATCATATTGTTTTGGAATTTTGTTTTTTGCATTTTTTTTCTTTAAAATAAGAATTTTTAAAAAGGCAGTTGAAAGGTGAAACTCAAAAAAAAAAATAAAAATGCATCCACTTTTATCCAGCTCCACTGTAACCATGAACAGGAATGATCTCTTAACACAGATCTCTGTGTCTGTCAGAAATTCCATGAGGCATTCCTCATGGAGCCTTGTCATCTTCAAAATGTAAACAGAAACACACTACTCCTTTCTCAAAACTCCCAAATGGCTTTGCACTTCAAACTTCTCACAGGTCCTAACCCTTTTCAGTCCCTCACAGTTACCCACCCAAAGCTTGGTCCTTCCCAGTTATTTGTATTTATAGATTTCTCTGCCTTGGTCTTCCACAAGAACTTTATGTGACTAGTTCTTTCTTGCCACTCATGTCTCAGCTCAAATGACGTGTCCTCAGTAAGGATTACCTCTATGCACTCACCCGTATTACATGTTAAAACAGGAACACCAAAGTGTGCCTGAACTGCATTGGGCACTTTGCTTTTATATACTCATATGGGAGCAACATATGGAAGCTTCCTAGAGATACAAAATTGTAGGACCCATAACTGAATTAGAATTTGCATGTTAAGTTTTCCAAGTAAACTCCAATTGAGCGGCACTGGTCTTAACATATAAATCTAATAGGTCTCTTTGTTTTGTTAATGATTCTTTTTAAAGAATAATAATCCAATTGACAGATTTTAATAGTTCTATAATCTAGGTATATGAATTGTACTAAATGCTGATTAATTGGAATACAGCTATTTAGCTTAATGCTCATTTTCAGAAATCTTTCCTAAACACCTAAATCAGTACTTCTTCTGTATGTATATTGGAAACAATTAGATTCACTCATTTCCCAGGACTATGTCATGTAAACAGATTAAGAACCTTTACGCTTCTCTATAATACTGATGTCAGGTCTCAAAATGGGCATTTTACCTATAGCATTCCATCATGATTTTAGCAAACAATGTACATCCTTGAGGAATGAGCATGGTATAGTCATCATAAATATTTAAATTCCTAGCCTATGTTGTTTCTGCACAAAATTCACCCAGATATCAGAAAAGGAACCAAACTAGCTAAGAGGAATTTTAGGTGAAAAGTCTTTTAATATGGAATGAACATTACAACAAAACTTTAAATAAACTCGTAATACCTTGAAGTGCAATAAATGCTTTTTTATTGTATGCTCATTTCAATGAGTAACACTGAGAAATAATAATCCCACATAACAGTGACAATCTTATTTTACAGCGTGTACATCATTTACAGCCACATAACACACAATTTTATTAGATTTTCCAAATTCAATATCCAGAAGTTAGGAAAGATAAAAAAAGTTATTCTCAAGTAACTGATTCTTATCTGGTGCAAAAACAGAAAGGTGAACATTATTTGAAACACAAAGCCACAATATAGCATGAAGTAAAATTACATTAAACAGCTGAATATAAACATGAAGCAACTAAAACTTCAAAGTACACATCATGTGCATTATATTTATGAACAGGATTTTCATTAAGTTTCCCTAAACCAGCTTTTAATATTAAGCGCCATTTTGATTTGCAGCATGCTAACACAAAGCGTTGTTAAAAGGATGCATACTTTAAATTTATACACTGTAAACTGAATATCCACCTCCAAACTCTATTGGCAGCATACTGTTCTGTTAAATACTGCATAAATACTGCCTCATGTTGAAAATGCATGTTAATAACATGGTATATAGGTTTTAAAAATCAAAAATTTCAATAATGGCATAAAATTGCACCTTTAAACATCAGAGCAAGTAAGACTAGAACAATCATACTTGCTAAAACTGTCCTAAAAAAACCCTCCAAACGTTATATTTAAGAAAACTGTGTTCTCTCAATTTAACCTTGAAATAATTAAGAAATATAGTGCTGATATTGTTTGCAACACTACAGTTGCATCCATCTTAGAAAGCCACATTTGACTCAAATATACTTTTGTCATATATGCAATACTGAACAACAATCAACTTGAACATCAGAAAAAAGGGAACTTTAGTCCTAGGACTTCACCTCAGATTTCAGCACAGAAGTCTATACTTTAAACATCTTACCTGTGATAAAATATTAGCAGCTCTGAAATTCTTTTTTCTAATAGTAGTGAATTACACTAGCTTGTTTTTCAGTGAAATTTCTCTTAATGAATACACAAAACATTTGCTATTTCTGGAATTGCGTCCAGTTACAATATAAAAGGTTCAATGACTAAGTGATGGATGAATTTTACTTCCCCACCCTGTTTCTAAAATTGCATAAAATTGAGGCTTTGCTTGCGATGGCAAAGCATTGCTAAAATCCTCACTTTTCAGAAACATTTGTCTCTAGTATAATCAACCAATTAAGGTATTTGTGTTTACTATTCTTCTCTGTATTTTAATTATGCATAAAATACTATTAAATAGACATTTAAGTCTTTCTGCAACCATTCTATGGTGCTTTTAAGTTCTTTAATTTTCAAGGGGCTATGATATTTCCCCATCAACTCAAGTATTTTAAGATCTTTAATACAAATAATGTAAAGTTTTGGTGTAATAGTATGTTTTGAAACCAGAAAAAACAGTGAGGTCTTCCTCCCAGGTGTCATATCTTATTTTCCAAATGGCTTTTTAGAATATATGTCTCACATAAGAGCCTCCTTGTGGTGCCTCATAATATGTTGATTTTTTTCTGATGGTCTGCGGAATCCTTTCTTGCAGAATTCACACCTGTGTGGATAGTCTTTTGTATGTATTGAGATCACATGTCGTTTAAAGCCAGATGCATCTGTAGTGCTGTATTCACAATACTCACATTGGTAAATCTTCCTTCCAGTATGAGTCTTCATATGCTTTTTGAGCTCATTTGGTTGTCTGAACCCTCTCTTGCACCTCTTACACTTCAAAGATTGATCCTTAGTATGAACTGAAAGGATATGACCACTAAGAATAAATGGATCTGATGTTTTAAAGTCACAATGCCTGCATTGATGAATCTTTCTACCCTTATGAATATCACTATGCTTTTTGAGCTCAGATGGACGATGGAAACCTTTATCACAGACCTCACATTTGTGAGGGAAGTCCTTGGTATGGACAGATATGAT